GCTGGCTACACATGGTAGCCCGCTGCAGCAGGGGCTGCAGCCTACACTGTTGCCGGGAACTCACGGCAGCCCAGGTCCAGGGCGAGCTATTGTTCAGCATCTTAGCTGTAGAGGGCAGTGTCACTGGCCCTCATATGTGGGATCCGAACCGGGGCCCTCTGGCGTCCCAAGCCAGCTCTTAACCAACACGCCACTCGGCTGGCCCAGTTGTTGTACTTTTTTAAACTAAGGCTTGTACTAACGTTCTCCTCAAAGTCCTTCCAGCTTTTCAGCATTGCCCAGTTCTAAAACCACTTCCATAATTTAGGTACATTATTTGTTATAGCAGCACTCCCTTCCAGGTACCAAATCTGTATTAGTTATCTATTGCGGTATAAAATATTACCCCAAACTTATCAGTTTAAGACAACAGGATAAAAGGGATCAAATATATGGTGATGGAAGGAGAACTGACTCTGGGTGGTGAACACACAATGTGATACATAGATAATGTATTACAGAACTGTACACCTGAAACCTATGTAACTTTACTAATAGTTGTTACCCCAATAAACTTTAATTAAAAAACAAAAAAAAAACAACCCATTTATTTATCTTACAATTCCCAAGAGTCAGGCATTTGGAATTGGCCTAGCTCAGTGTTTCTGGCTCTGCTGCTTTCATGAGGTTGTGGTTAAGATGTTGGCTGGAGTTACAATCATCTGAAGGCTTGACGGGCTGAGGGTTAGTGCTATGGTCTGAATATTTGTGTCCCCGCCCCCTCCCTCCAATTCATGTTGAAATCCTAACCCCCAAATCTGATGGTATTAGTAGGTGTGGTCTGTGGGAAGTGATTAGGTCATGGGGGTGAAACCTCATGAGTGAGATTAGTGGTCTTATAAAATCGATCCCACAGAGCTCCCTTGCCCCTTTTGCCATGTGAAGGGTACAAGAGAAGTCTGTGACCTGGAAGAAGGCCCTTACCTGACCATGCTGGCACCTTGATCTTGGACTACTAGACTCCAGAATTTTGGGCAATAAATTTCTGTTGTTTATAAGCTACCCATTCTGTGGTATTTTGTTAGAGCAGCTTGAATGGACTAAGATAATCAACTTTAAATTTGATTGGCTGTTGGCAGGAGTTCTCGGTTCCTTGTCACATGCTCCTTGTGATATGTTAGCTGGCTTCTGGCAGAGTGAGTGATCCCTGAGAGAGCAAGGAAGAAGCTGCAACTTAGCCTCGGAGGTGAAATACCATCACTTCTGTTGTATATTATTGTTCACACAGACCAACCTTGATATAATATGGAAGTGGACCATATATAGACAGGAATACCAGGAGGTGGGGAACCATTGAGGGCCATTTTGGAGGGTACCACAGGGAGAATGCAACATTAGAAATTTTTATGACATTCTTCAAGGAATTCGGGTAAAACCGAGTTAATGGTCATGGTGTTACCACCCCACTCTCAGTTTGCCATTGTGGCTGACACTGATCAGTTTGAGATGAGATTTTTTTAGAAGTAAGTAAGTACATAAATTTAAAAACTGAATACATAATATTTTTCAATCATCAAAAAGTATAACAACTCAGACTCTTTTTTTAGCCTTCTAGATAATTTATTATTTTCATTCTGTTTTTTTTTTTAGATAACCGATTTATATTATACACAATTTTCTGCACCTTTTTTTTGGACAATGTAACATTTTATGGTAATTTATGGCATATAAACTGGCAAAATCATTGCCTGAAATTATGAAAGGAATAATTAAAATATTTTCTGAAGTGTTTCTAGAGACTAAAATTCAAATGTAGTATTATAAAATTGTAAAGAAAAATTATAGCTAGTTAAATAAATGTAAAATACTCAATTTCAATAGCAAACATAGAAATGGAAATTAAAACTGGTATCTTATTGATGAATGTTGTAGAAATTATGTCTGCGCCAATGAGAGTGTGATGAAAAGAGTGTCAATTGGTATAAACCTTTCTGGAAGTTATTTCAAAATATGAATAAAAAAGCAATTAGGTCACATTCTTTCATAGGTATCTTTTACAAATTCAACAAAAATTCACAGAATGAATGTTTATGTATGCAAAAATTAAGCATACAAGTAAATTCATGGTTTTAGTTTGTGTTTATAGAAAGCGGAAATAATTTAAATGTTTAAAAATTGAACACTTTGGTACTTCCATTGAATAACTGCTTTATGCGTACATATATATTTATATATATAATTTAAAGAGAGATGGCAGTAATATGCAGTAAAACTAGCAGGATACAAATTTGTGTATACATTGTGATCTGAACTATGGAGAAACTATATAAAGAAAAAATACTAAAATAGTAACTTCTATAATAATACAACTTTTGAACTATTGTGGTCTTTACAGAGTAGGGAAAAGCACTCCTTAAGAAAACACTTCCAGATTTTATGTAGTGAACTTGCATTGTTTTGAAAACTTATATAAAACGAGGAGCTTTTTTTGTTTGCTACTAGCAGTCAGAAGTACATCTTCAAGAGATGCTTTTTGGGAAAAACGATTCGATCATAAATTCTTTATCTAGTGCAGCTTCTATTGTTCCCTGGATTGGCAAAATATTTGGATTCTGTTTTTCCTAGACCATCCTACTTTCTTCCAAAATACTCACTGAAATCATTTTAGCCTCCTTCCCTGGACTCCCCCCCCCCCATGAGCAGCCAACATTTAGATTTCCTTAAGAGCTAAAATGTCTATCCATTTGATACTGAATTCAGGTGATTATAGGTAGACCCAGGCAGGTTCATGACTTTGTTTCTCATCTGGGTCTCACTGTGCCAAGCACCAGGATATTGCCAGCAATAGTAGTACTCAGCCTGGTCCTCAGGCTGTTCCCCTAAGAGGATGAGAGCAGCTTTACCCTGAGGAGGGAGCCTGAGAAGTGAGCAGGAGTCCATGAGTGTCTGTTTTTGTGTGATATATCAATGTCCTTGGAACTTGGTCAGGATTCCTCTGGCCCCACTGTGGATCATTCTTGGTGAGCACTCCTGGCTGGATTGCCACGTACACTTTCACCATTGAAAGATTAAAAACCAGAACAAAACAAAACCTTCCCAGCTCAGGCCAAACTGAATTTGCAGCCTAACAATAGGGCATCAGAGATCAACAGCACAGCAGGCAGCTTTTGAGTATTGCTTCCTTCACTCCTCATCCCCCTGTAGTTGTGAAAACTCAATCTCAGGAGATAAGAGAAGATAGGGGATGGGGCCTATAGTCACCTAGATGGGCAAAGCAACAGAAGAGGGTGGACCCTACAGCACTATGAGTATAAAACCTGGGCAGATGGCTCCTTCCTACTTAAATTCACCAGGAGCAGCACAGGCTAAGTCTTGGGCTTTAGTGCCTTCTCTTTGTACCTTTTAAAATCTGAATAGCTGATAACCCTTTGGAATGGCCATAAAAGTAATCAGACACCTATAGGAATACACACTATACAAAGAGAGGCAACTCAACATCTTAACAACATGAATCAGAATTAATGAAATAGAGCATCAAGATTTAAAATAAATATGATGTTGTCAAAGATATAAGTAAGAATAATGGCAAACTATTGACAGAATTCATTGCATCAAAAGATGTACTGTTTGCTCCCCTACCTCCTCAGATTTTTGCAGAAGCATCATCTTAGTGTGATCTACTGACCAGATTATTTAAAATTGTATCCCTAGGTCATTCTTTGTTCCTATTCTCTGCTTTATTTTTATTCACAGAATTTACCACCTTTTCCTATAATACACAATTTGTCTTTCTGGTCCACTTCTCCCTCTTAGCACATACTCTCTGTGAGGTCATTTGTCTGTACCCTCAGCACCTAGAACATGGCCTAACTAATAGTTATACTTGTTGAACTGGATCAATAAATGAAGTACAAGAGAGATGGAAATTAAGAATAAGGAATTAACCTATAGATTTATAATCTTACAGAAAGAAGGGCAAAAAGTAAAAAGGGATGAAGGTGAAAAGGGGGAGAGAGAGGAATGCAAGAAGGGAGGGAAGAAAGGAAGAATTAAAAAGCATATTCATATCAACCTGGACCTAAAATAATAAGTGATACCTATGGAGTGAGGATGCTGTGGGCTGGGCACTGGGAGTGGAACCAAAAAGCACTGGGAGCTTGCTGAATTGCTTAGTGTTTAGTTGTAGGTGAGCTGTCAGTAAGGCGCCACGTACATGGGTGGCTTGGCTGGAGCCGTAGGGTCTGTTTCCTTACATGGCTATAGGCTGGCCTTGGTTCCTCACCAGGTGGGCTTCTCCATAGGGTGATGTTAGGCAGGGTATCTTGTCCCCCTCCTGCCCCCAACAAGCAATCCAAGAGAAAGCAACCAAGATAAGTCATTCCTCTTTATAACCCAGTATCAGAGGTGACGCCCTATCTCTTCTGTGTCCTACTTGTTAGAACCTAGTTGTTATATAAATGGGTTAAGGATGTCTCTGTATCTTGACCCCTATGTTGTTTACTTTTGGGCGGCAGGCTATGGCCATTAACTTATTACGCCTGGGTGCACCAAAATCAAATTTTTACAAATCCAATTGCTTTAAATATAGACCAAATAAACACATTTAGCCGTTTCGAGCCTGCGTTCTTTGCATACCTCATGAAACTGCACTCAATATCTGCTAGCCATAGATGAAAAAATCCTTGGGCTCTGATAGACCCCAAACTGTTGCTGCCCTTTGTAGCTGTGTGACCCAGGGACTCCTGGCTGTGCTGCTGAAGGGCTTCTAGGAAGGGCATCAGCCCTTCACCGATTCCCTTCCTACCCGGCAGTTCTTTACCTTCTTCTGGCTGTTGGACTTGCACCACTGTTTCTGAAGGTTTACACCTGTAAGGGAGTTCCCCTCTTACTAACCTTTCTAAGAGCCGCCCAAATAAAGCTGTCTCTGTGTTACTGCCATCTCATAACAATACTTTTTGCCCTTTTCCTCGATCACCCTGAAATCCTCAAACTCACCACCCCTTCACTCAGTACAGCCCATACTCAATGGAGGAGATCACACAATGGCATGGACTCCAGGAGGTAGGGTCATTGGGGGCTTTCTCTGTGGTTGTTTACCACAGCCTGCCCTCTGGTCTCCCCAAATTCATATCCCTCTCACATGCAGAACACCTTTCCTAGGCCTTGTCTTCAGCTTTGCACATACAAAATGAAAGACTCAGGGGCAGAGGGTGCACTGAGCCGGGGTTTTTTGTCTCACTTCCCCACCTGCATCTGTCACTGTGGAAATGGTTGCTGTACCACAGAGCACAGTAATACTCGGCCTCATCTTTGGGCTGGGCCCCTGTGATGGTGAGGGCGTCCTTGTCTTCAAGCAGGGAGCCTGAGAATCGGGCAGGGACCCCTGGAACCCGGTTGTTGGTACCACCTATTAAACCCCGTGGTACCTGGTAGGGGTTCTGTTGGATCCAGCTGGCATAGTTACTGGAGGTGACGGTTCCAGTACTGGATCCACAGGTGAGGGTGACTGTCCCTCCAGGAGATGTGGACAGTGAAGCTTCCTGAGTCACCGTGGCCTGGGAAGTGGTCCCTGAAAACAGGTGAGAGACCAAAGGTCAGCAGAGGGACAGAGGCATGAAAGTGCAGTGTGTCCTCTCCCACCCCAGCCCAGAGAGTACCCCAACCTGTGCAGTGAGCCAGAAGTGTGAGCAGCAGAGGAACCCAGGCCATGGTGTAGACGCCCCAGTGCTGTGCTTCTCAAGACCCCTCAGCACAGTCAGCCTGCACAGCTGTCCTTATAACTCCCACCACCTGTGGGGGTGGGGCTGCCATGCAAATAAGCTCCTCCCCAGGGGTACTCAGCAGTGTTGCCAGGTCACAGCTACTGAGCTGTTCCATGTCAGTAACCATGTGTTAGTGGGACCCAGGCCTAGAGGAGCTTTTCACAGCTGAGCTTGCTCTCCCAAGTGCTGGAGCACAGCTTCCTCCAGTGTCCGTAGTGAGAATATCACTGATGGACACATGCACTCCTGCAGGGCTTTCCATGTGTGCAATACCTCTTCCCTCTCTGGTCTGGAGATTTTAGTTGTAAGAGTTTTTATGTATTCTGGATCCTAGACCCATATCAGATATATGATTTGCAAATATTTTCTTCCATTTTGTGACTTATCACTCTTTTTTACAGCGTCCTTTGATGCACATACATTTAAATTTTGATGAAGTTAATTTAGTGGATCTTTTTTTCTTTACTTTTTGTTGTTGTAATTTTGGAATCATACTTAAGAAACTATTGTCAAGTCTAAGTCAAATATAAATTTATCCTATGTTTTCTTCTAAAGGTTTTGTATTTTTAGCTCTTATATTTATTCTTTGATCCATTTGGTGTTAATATGTAAGTTAAGGTCCAATTTAATTTTTTTACATGTGGACAGCCAGTTGTCCCAGTACCATTTATTGAAGAGTTCATTCTTTCCACATTGTGAGTTTTTGTCAACCTTGTGGAAAATCAATTAACCAAAGATGTGTGGGTTTATTTCTGGACTCTCGGTATTATTCCATTGTTCTCTCTGTTTATCCTGATGTCAGTGCTACACTATTTTGATTTTTGTATCTTGGTAGTAAGTTTTGAAATTAGGAATTGTGAGACCTCCTATTTTTATTTTGGCTATTGTTTAGCCAAGATTGTTTTGGCTATTCTGGGTCCCTTGCAATTCCATATAAATTTAGAAATTATTATTATTTGTTTTGCAAAATGACCATGGGAATTTTGATAAATATTGTATTGAATCTGTAGATCACTTTGGGTAGTATTGCAATCTTAACTATACTATGTCTTCTAATCCATGAACAGGGCATGCCTTTCTATTTATTTAGGTCTTCTTTAATTACTTTCATCAATGCTTTGTAGTTTTCAGTGTACAAATCTTGCACTTTATTGGCTAAATTTATTCCCTGAGTATTTTATCCTTTTTTATGTTACTGTAAATGGAACTTAAAACAATTGTTTTGATTATTTATTGCTTATGTATAGAATTACTACTGATTTTTACATGTTGATTTTGTATCCTGCAACTTTGCTGAAATTATTTGCTCTAATATTTTTTTGTGTGTAGTTTCTTTGGGATTTTGTATGTATATGATTATGTCATCTAGAAATGTAGTTTTACTTCTTCCTTTTATTTTGGACACCTGATTTCCTCTCCTGTTCCAGACTCCCCAGTTCTCTTTTTGCCAAGTTCCCAGACACTTCATTTCTCTTGCTTTTGGAATCCTGAGCATGTTGTGAAAATCCACGGATTTTAAAGCCTTGGTGGCACTTTGATCCCATAGGAGATGTCCCACAGTAGTCTGCTTAAAACCTAAATGCTTATTCTTTAAAAGAAAACAGACTTGCTCATTTGGGACAATTACAAATAAAAATTTCAGGTTCTTGCTGAAGCACTGGGTTGAGAACCGTGAGGCCAAATCTGGAGAGATTAGGGAGGAGTGCTGTGATGTATCGGGGTAACTGCAAAAGGAATGAAATATGCAAGGAATGGCCTTTTGAATGTCTGTTGTCCATCCCTGATGTCCATTATAATTCGAGGTGGTCCTCCAGTTACTGCAGAGAGTCATACCATAGGGGTTCATTATGGGGACAGGACTAGCTCTATCTTTACAAAAATGGCTTCTGTTTTTCCACCTGTAAAATGGGATTAAGAATAGTACCTATCAAGTGTTGCAATGAAAATTAAATAGAAGATGCATATTAATATATGAATACATTTTATTAGCATATTATAAGTGCTCAGTCAATGGCAATGATTATTTTATAGTAGCATTAGAATTTAATACCAACCAAACAGATTCTAAGTATGTCTAACATGCTTTTCTGAGCATCTCAGAATTACCTTTCCATAGTTCTATGTAATATTCTGTTTAGGATTATGTTCCAGAAATCTCTCTAATCCCAAATCATCTGCATTTGAACAGACAATTGCTAAACACACACTCACACACTCACACTCAGAGAGAAAGAGACAGAGAGGGGGGGTCGGAGAATTGTTTTTGACACTAGTCTTGAGGATACCTCAATGGTGTGGGTCACCACATGAATCCTTGCTTCTCTGAACCCCAGATTCCTGTGCTCCATCTTGCACACAGATTGCTTTTGGTACAACAGGGAGACAAGTCAGTGAGTGGGTTAAGGAGCAGGGTCCACATAGCTAATTCTACAAACCAAATCAGAGAATTTCAGGAGAGGGTCTTGGAGTCTTTGGGATGGTGTGGCCTCCTCAAGCCATTTGAACAGCAGAGACACCTCCACCTGGGGAACCTGCCTTGGGGAGGAAGGTGTGGGGTAGGCAGAGGGAGGTGGATAAGGGAGGGGCTGGACTCGCCTTCCTTCACACCAACACAGAAACCTGACTTTGCTCTGCTCTCAAGCTTTTCAATTGACCTTGATTTCCCCCACCCCAGTGCTGGGGTAGCCACAAGTGTCCTGGCCCATAATGACAGCACAGTGGCATCTCGCCTGTGCCAACCATCAGCCCTCACTCCCCTGCACCATCGAGCCAGTGCCTGTTCACACTGACACCTCACCTCCTTTACTTTCTGAAGTGGCTCTGGGGATTTTCAAACATATACTTTAACTATTCATAGACACAAACAGTTTCTTCAGTGTGTACATGCACCCCAAGTGCATCCGTGTGCTCTACAATACTCTACCCTGGACCTTCAGAGCTTCAACTCAATAGCAAGTAAGCAGCTCTCTCTCACCATGTGAAAGTGACGTTTCAAATAAATCTCAGTGAGTAGGCATGAAGGGCAGTGATGAGTCCGGGGAGTTGGCTTGCTGTCTGCAGAGGACAGTGTTCCCATGACACTCTGAAACAAAGCAGAGGTGGTTCTTAATGGTTCCATCACAGGGACAGGCTCGAGGTGACAGCACAACACCTCCCATCTAGTCTTTCTCTTGCACATTCCTCCTGTCTCAATGCAGCATCGCCCCCCTGAGACCTCATTTTCCGATGTGCGTTATGCCACCATCTCCTACCTGGGTCTCCTGCCTTCACGCTGTGTCCTCCTATTTCATCTTTGTTGGAGAAGCTGAACTCCTCCTAAAGCTGAAGTCAGATTCTGTATCTTCTTCGTGTCCACCCCTTTCTTGCCAATGTCACCTCTTGTCACACACCATGATATGCATTATTGTTATCAACTTGTTGACCCTCTCTTCCCTGTACAGTGTCAGCCCCGTGAGGATGGGACCCTGTCTGTCTTGTCAGTGTTGTACCCTGAGCCCTAGACCTGAGCCTGGCACATCGATGTTCAGAAAAACGTTGAGGACAGACAGACCTCTGCATTCGTTGTTTTTCCTGAGTCAGGCCCAGCTGGGCTCTCTGTTCGTGTTCTGTTCTGGCCCATTACAGACTCTGACCCCAAGGTAGGTCACCCCTGGTATCAAGGAACTTCATCTGAGGCCGTGTGATAAGGGGTTCGTTTGAGGGCCAACTTTGGGTAGATGAGGCTGCATTCTTTAGATTGCCATCCTTATGTGAGTCTTAAGCCCTAGCTGAGTGTCACACTAGTACACATGTCAACAAAAGCTAAGTGGCCCAGGTGTCCTCTCTCCACAGCAGGTGCTGCGATCAGGGTCACACACTGTTGGGTGGCCCCGCATGTTCATGTCTCACTTCCCTACAGGCTGGAGAACTGTGGGAGCCTGTTGAAGGCCACACAGTAATAATCAGCCCTGTCCACAGGCTGGAGCCCAGAGAATCAGACCAGGACCCCTGCAGGTTGGCATTTGCTTCTATAGAGCAGAGGTTTGTGGGCACTGCAAACAGACACATCTCAGGAATAAGGAAAAAAAGCAGTGAGATCCCTCCAAAGGCTGGTATCTGACATCTGTATTCACTTGGGCAGTGAGTGAGGAGAAGGAGGAGGAGAGGAGTCCAGGCCACGTGCAGATGTTGGAAGGACCCCCTGCCTCAGAGCTGAGGCTGGACTCTGATGGCTCTTTATCGTCTACTGAGCTTGCTGCATGCAAGGGTGTGTTTGACTGTTGCATTATGCAAAGCTGAGCCCTTTACTACTCGCTTCTACCACCCAGGTCCTCAGCCTGTAGAGCAGCTACACTGTCAGGAGTAGGCCAGGGGTGGCTGTGTGTTGTGGCTCTACCCGGTGGGAGGAAACAGCTGCTCTAAGGTTTTCTACGGGCCAGTGAGCAAGTGTTCAGGGTCCATTAAATTTGAACCACTTGAGTCCTCAAGTCCCCTGAGAAGATCCATACCACCCTCTGGTAGCCTTCTTGCACTGAAGGTGTGTGGTCTCCTCTCAGTTATTTAACACATAACTACTGGGGGTGCCAAAACACGTATAGATGTGGACACTTTAGTTAACATTGCTCAAGCAGTAGTTTTCACTTATCAGACATGTCTGGATGCTGATGGTAACCACTTTGAGCACCTTTGTAATTGCAGAAATCAAACGTGACTTGTATTCATCTTTTGTTATCGGCATATGTTATTACAATTTTAGTATTTTTTTCCGTTCCTAACGTGTATACATTTTTTGGGTACCCTCTTTATTGATTTATCTTTTTATCATTGTAATGGTATTTCCCAGGCCATTCCACATTCATTGCTTGTCTCTTCTTTGCTCATTCCTGTTTGTACTTCTTTCTCTAGTTGTTGCTGAAATCGCACCTCACTGTGAATTTTCGTGGTACATGGCCTTAATTTCTTACCTGAGTGGTTTGAATGACTGACTCTACTGAAATTATTTATTTTGAAAGTTACATTGAATGAACAGCTGTTTTAAGTCAGAATTATTTTAATATATTTTTTTAAAAATTACCAAAGACTGAGGGTTTAAACTTTAACTTCTAATTTGGTGGAGACTAAAGTCAGCTGTGTGAAATGCCAACCAGGTGTACATGACCAAG